AAACTGCTAAGGGAATAACGCCGAGACTACAAGGAATCCACAAAGAGCGCCGGGGAGAAGCCGGCTGGTGCTTGCACGTGGGGACACCGCGCACCCTCCAGCGGGCTGCTTACGAAAGCTGGTGGGCGCTAAGGCAACATTCCAGGCATGGCAGAATCTCTCCAACTTCTCTTCAAATTCAGTTCGTGAGACCAGGTAGGACTGGAAGCACAGCGGTTATTTGCAGTGGTGGAGAAGAAAAAAGAAGGGGTAAGATACTACAAATAACAAAAATCGTTTTCCAATTAAAAAGAAGCTTTTTGCAGTAGAAGAGTGGAAACACAGATACAGGGGCATTTCAGTTCAGGTACACAGGGCCACTTCACAGACCTCGCAGATCACGATAGCGATTCACCAAAGCTTCCTCTTCATCGCTGCGGCCGTTTTTCAAACCCGGAGCAGCTTTGATTTCCAGTTAGGAAGCGGGCAAAAAGGCTCGAAAAGCATCGCTCCACCTAACACTTACACATCTTTCCAAACCAAAGCAGGTCTGCCACAACCTTTCAATAATTTAAAGAGCAGCTGGCCTAATTGCAAAGATAATTTTGCACTACACTTCTTTTTTTCTCTAAAAAAAGATGTAGCTAGAAGATGTAAGAATCCAGGCTGTTTTCCTCTATTGTTATTATGAAACATGTGAGATGGCAAAGAATAAGCATCCTGGTTATGAAATTTCATAAGTAAAACCTGAGGCCAACTTACAGATCTCTAAACAAGAACGATTAATTCAAGGAGCAAGGAAACGCCTCCCTTTTGAAAGACAATCTGGGTTCTGGGTAGTCAAAATGGCACTTCCCGGGGAGCTCTCTGCTCAGGCATCACTGCCCCAAACCCCAAAGGCTTTTTGGAGACCAACATTAAATTACGACCAAGCGGACCAACCAAAGCACCTGACACCTGCAGACATCGTTATATTTTCATATTTGGAGGTTTACCAGCACTGGAGCTTAAAAACTGCCAGCTTGAACAGCAGCTGTAAGGCAGACCCGTAATAAAGACTTAAATACAAACCCTGTTCCCCCCCCCGCCCCAGTATTTATCTGTTCAGGTAGGACCAGCTCCCAAAGATGTGCCCTGCTGCAGCTTAGGGCCACTGGCACTCCAGCATGTACCAGTGTTCAAAAACCCCTTCCAGCACAGGATCCATTTAATGCAAGCCGGAAGAGGGCACAAAGACGCAGTTTTCTGTCATCGCCCCCACCATTACTTGAAATCCCCAGCAGCACTGGAACCAGAACAGACCCGTGCTTAGGGGGTCCTGCTCGACCCGGCTGCAATTACCAAAGCACCCAACTACAAACGCACTGCTTTTCATCCCTGCTCTCACCTCCTAAGGCATCCCGCTTATAGACTGGCGCTACGCTTAAACACCGCCAACGAGCAACCTCTGCTTTAACCGGGCTTAAGAGGAACTTTAGTTCAGATACATCATTGTCTGCGAGATTAGTTGTTCCTTCCTGTCCCCAGCACGTAAAAAGGTGGCTTTAATGCTCTCATAAAGTTGCATAAATATATACATTTTTATACAACAACTTTAGAAAGTTTAAATCTTATTCTTCCTTGTTCTTATATAATTTAAGCCACCTTACCATTTATGATTCCCATAAAATACACAGGCGTATCTGAAATAGAAATTGTTGCCTGAAAGCGCAGACTGGTGAGGCTGCTGAAACACATTACCTCGCACTCAACAGTTACTTAAGGGTGGCGAGAGCACCAATTAGCGTGGTCTGCAGCCGCTCGGTCGCAATGCTTCATTGCACCAAGATTGAATGCACTCCTGAAAAAAATGGTTATTTTGAACATATACTACTGTATAATCACCCATGACCATGTCAACAGTGCAGCGGCTGCAGAGACAACTGAGCTTGAACCGTGCAAAGGAGACAACTGAGCTACACGTCAACGACCCTGGGTTTGCTCCTGTTTAATGCCATCGCACGCTGTTTGATGCATACGAAGAACTTGCAGCCAGAATGGCTTTAAACTCAAGTTTAAGTATAGTTCATTATTTTTTAATGAATATTTATCTCGCTCTAATGAATTCCTTAAACCAGAAACAGTTACATAAACATAAAAAATAGATTTAAAAAAAATAATCTGATGTGGTCTGCCATAGTTACCTTCCTCATTGTCAAAGAGATTTCCAACAGAAAAATGTATTTGGGTACGACAGTGGAATTTGTGTCATCATGACCAAGCGATTACAGCGCACAGCGAGATTCTCCCGCGGCTCTGCGGTCCTGGTCCCCATGGAAACCGGACTCGGATATTGTCCTCCACTCGCTGGAGCACCGAGACTTGGGAGCCTTTTGTGCCTGATGAGATTTCTTCCACAACCTTCCAGCAACAGACCCTATGCTTCCTCCTGACTCTTTCCTAATTGAGATGCAAATTAATCTCTGTGGCTGATTACACTTCCCTTACAGCCCCTGACAAGTGCAGCTGTAGCCGGAGTTTACAGACTTTCCAACAAGTGACTTCAGCTGTCAGTGCTGGCGAGAGGCAGCCCCGCTCCCCGGCACGCGACTCCGGGCGGGCACCACGGCCAGGCCCCCTCGTCCCCCTCGCCAGGCCGGGGCGAGGACCAGGGCTCTGCGCCCCGTCCCAGCGGGTGCCTCCCGCCCCGCCGCTGCTCCAACACAAGCACCGCGGGCCCAGTGCCTTATCGCCGTTCAACCACTCGCACCAGATGAAGCGTTCAGTCCCTTTCTAACCACACGTGAACCAGGAACGTTTTTGGCTACTAACCCCTGTCAGGGACGCTGACACTCGGCACGCCCCGCGGGACAAGCCCTCCTGGCAGAGCACCCGCAGCTCTGCCTTGCGCAAGCTCTTCTGCACTCGCCCCAACCACCAGGTTACGTCTAGCGTGCTGCCAAACGCCACCCACGGCTTTTCCAGCACTACCGCTGTTTATTTCTGCCTTCTATTGACATTTCTGGGGCTGTTTCACCTTTGAGTCGTTTGCCTCTGCAGCCTGACACAGTTACTGGGCTCGCTCACGTCCTGCTCAGGTTGCCGGGTCTGCTCTCCCCCCGACGGCAGCAGCGAGCACCAGAGCGAAGGCGTTCGCTGCACGTGGGAGCTGCAAAGCAGCCTTGCTGCATTGGACAGGTTTGGACACCGCCTTTACACGTGTACATCCCAATTTCTGCCTCCCCAGAAACTGCAGCGTATCTTTGTGCTTATAGGGAGCAATTATCGTTGACCTTTGCTGTAAGAAAAGAGTGTTTCGTTATCTACAGCGAGAGCTGTGGGCAGCTTTCTCTCCCGCTCCAGTGTCAGCCTGATGGGACCTTCCCACCACATTATCTTTGCCCAGTTTCAGAAGTCTCTCAGTCCGCTTCCATTTATCAAACAGACAAGTGGCAGTTGATTCACTACAGATATCATTGGTGCAAAAGCAGGCACAAAAAAGGAAGAAAAGAATCTGGGGACAGATGCTGTTTCAGCTAGACCTCAAGCATATGCCGGGACGCGGCAAGCACTATCATATTTGTGCTGCGCATCTTTCCCTGGGGACAAGGAGGGACCCCGAGAGCGAGCCTGCCGGAGAGCAGGGGCACAGCAGGCTGGCGAGCGCTGCTCGCTCACACGATGTCGAAAGCCAAAAGATGAGCAGGATCGGGAACCAGGGGACTCCGACCGGGAGGGAGGCGCCGGGCCAGCGGCGAGAGGCAGCAGGATCTGCCGCCTCGCAACCACTGAGACTCACGTTCATTCTTCTACGCTGCTGTTTTATCGTCAGACACTGACCACGGAAGCAGATGGATTAAGCTAAATTCTGCTAAATTCTTCTAATAGAAGAATTTTAGTAATTAGCTAGATTTCTCTCATCAAACACAAGTGGAAAGCTTGGCAAGTTGGGAATCACCTGCTGGGTACTGCCACAGGTTTGCAGCTGATGCGTCACATTCAGCTGCGTGCGCAACCACGACATCTCTTTTTTAATATGAGTACGCCATGAGATGAATAAAACACCAACTTATTTAACCACAACGCCGCTTCTAATTTCTGATGATTTTGCAAAATATACTGGATAAAATTTCACCTTTGAAACCCCCCCCCAATATTTTGAGGATATTTTGTGTTTTAAAAATGTGCATCTCAAAATAATTAATCAATGTTCTTTCAAAGACCAAAACATTTCCTTTACAAACTCACTCTCGAAGTCACATGGTTAGAAAAATACTCAAATCAAAAGCTCCCCAGAGAAAACAAAGCGCAGGAGGTGTTGGTCCCGCGATGAGTGATAGAACAAAACAAGCTATAAAATATTTCTAGCATAACTATGGCACCGTGAGAAAATCCTAGGGTAAGTGAAACCCAGTAATAACCCTGCTAGTCTGTTTGTCACCCCAGAACCAAAGTCTGTGCTACAATTTCCGCAAGAGAGAGGCAGACCATCTCGGTGTCTTCCAGCAGCCATTAGGAAATACGTTCTGACAATGCCCAGACACAGCCATGGCTGGAATAAAACTGGAATTCGGGAACTGAAACGTCTGTATCTGAGGCCAAATCCCATCTGTCTTACTAACGCAGCGAGCCCATGTAAAGTCAATTGGGCTGCTGCTTTGAATGAGATAAGGGTACAACTGAGCTCTGTGCATTAACCTAATATACACCGTAGATAACTTTATCAGCCTGAAAGAAAATTGAGTATTGTCATTACTTACAGTTCAAGGCTTCAATGTTAAGCCCAAGCCCACCACCAGCGAGACTGTCTGAAGCTGCTGGTGAGAACACGCTCGTGATGTTATGATCTTATTTTTAAAACACTGGATGGCAACTGCGTGTGAACGACTGAACGCATTGAGCTTGATGTGAAAAAAGCTTTGACCTTTTCCAATAAAATCAAAGGGGAAGGATTTTCCCTAAAGCTTACCTCTCTGCAGGAGAACACTCAGAAGTAAGAACCCTACCAAGGGGAGCCTTGCCCCAGCGGGAGGAAAGGATACAAGCTCTGGTAGAGCGGGATGAGCGACTTGACGGCTCTGCTGGCATTGATGCATGTGGCACAGATGAGGCTTGGCAGCAGCTTTGCAGTCACGATGGCTCCATCGAAGAGAGGACCGAAAAACGGCACCTGTGGACCCCAAAACAAAAACAACACATGTAAAGCCAAGCCAACAGGAGCAACTTCCAAAATCACAAACACCGTGCCCGGCTCCCAGAGGATTTTCACAGCAAGGCATCTGCTGCTCGAGAAAGGCACCAGGGAAGCAAGAGGGGGCGAGTTCCACACTGCTTTGCTCTCGGCAGCGAAGGTAGCCGGTTACGTTCCAAGTGTGAGCTTGCTGTAGGTCTCCTCTCTAGATCCCGGGCACAAAGAGACTCCTCCAAGCACCGCAGAAGACCACAAACCAAACCACCTCCACAGGCTGTAGCTCAGGGCCATTACCAGCCCAGTCAGCAGGGGGGGTACCCTTGCTAGCACAACATACTGTACTTTGCGCTGTGTTATCGACATTTGGAATAACAAGCATCAGACCCACCACAGAAGACCAGTACGGCATTTTGCCATAAACCAGTATGACCACATTGTTTTCCATACTGAAACTTCTGGTGTGAGATTAATCCCCCAATTTTAGGTTTTTAAACCTTTCATAACTGCCATCAGTACACTTTACATGTATATGCCCATTTCACAGAACGTTCAACTGGGTAAACGAGCGTGTTATGCACATGAACAGAATCCGCCCAGGAATTTGAAATCCATACTCCATTTTGGCTAAATATTAAGAGCTGCTTTCTGTCTTGCATCCCAAAAGGAGACCCGGATTCCCTGGCCAAATCTGACATTGGCAGGAGTTTTTGCAAAGAAGTATTCGTTTCAGATAATCTTCTATAAACTCCTTCCATGGACTTCACTGATGGAAAAAAAAAAAAAAAAAAAAGAACCGAGTGGCTCCAAGATCTGTGGAAAGCAGAGGAGATGGCGGAAAACTCCCCGCTCGGAGAGGCAGTCACCCCTAAGGTGCAAACAGGTCTGTCCCAGCACGGCGTGTCATGGTGTTAAAACCCTGTTCCTTCAGGGTTGCCTCCAGAGGAAACCACCGTTAACGTCCTTTGGTGACACAGGGCTCTTCAGACAAAGGCTATACCGGGTAAGAGAGACACTTCATGAAGGTGAAAAACGTCCGGAATTGCGTATGCATAGCAGAGTTGGCCATCTCAAACCCAGACAATGCTTGAATACGTAATAAATTGGAGGATTTACACGTAGTCAAACTCATTTCCCTTTCACAAACTCAAAATGGAAAAAAGAAAAACCCCGCAAACCCAAACCCTGAACAGAAGCTAGCAGCAATTATCAATATTTAAGCTATGGATTTTTTTCCATCTGTACGGAGGCTTATCACATCAATAAATACCCTCTATTATTCTTCCGCAACTGCTTGTGGGTGACTGTGACAGTCATTCAATAAATGGACAAAGGGAATAATATAAATCCCCTGCATCTAGGGAATTCCACTAATTAGAAGTGGCAATGAATTACAGAAGAAATTTGGGTTTAATATAACATCTGCAAATGACAGCTGTCTTCTCACACAGTTATTTTGTCATTCCTTTACTTAAAATAATTACCTGCCCCCCAGAAATAGAAGAGTGTAAAACATTTCCAGGGTGGTTTTGCTTTTCTTTTTTTCACACCAGCGTTACTGTCCCGGCCGCTGGAGAGGAGGCGACGGGAGGGCGAGCTATGCCGCCCGCGCCATCGTGCTCTAGGGCACCAAGCTTTTCCTCCTTAAGCAGTAACACTGCCAAGTTAAACTTTTAACACATACTCTGTTTACAAGTACCGACAAAAGGAGAAAAATGGAAAACTATGTTTTTATATAAGTACAAATAAGGAGGCTAAGTACATACTGGTATTAAAATTATACCAACATACAAATACCAGCTATTTAAAGTCAGATTAGCACTTGCATGTGCAACCGTCCAGGGCAATTCACGGCCAGGCTTTCGACAGTGATTTTTCCTTACAGGACTTGGTTTCACTGTTTCAAAACCAGCTGGAGTCTAGGGAACATGGCAGATTTTTCTTAATACAGTATTACAGAATTTATATACTTAAAAGATAGACAAGGTGTGCGCATTTTATACATCTTGCATGTGTGTGTACATAAATACACACACATATGTACCTATGCTCATGTTTAAAAAAAAACCACCTTTCAGTGGGCACTCTGCAGCGAATTCATCAAAGTATCTCCAACCTGCCTGGCGTTTTAAAACAAAAAGTTTAGTAACTGTTGTCACTGAAAGTTCAATAGTCCAACTCCAATAAACCGTACTTCACTCTCAAACTCCTCCTGAACAGAAAAGCAGGCTAATTCCAGCTGAACCCTAAAAGGCGAGAGCTTTCCTTGGCACCCCCGAGCTCTGTCCCTGCAGCCTAGGGGTAAGAGCGCAGCGGGCGCTCTCCGGGGCGACTTTCACAGACCTGGCAAACATCCTTTACCAAGCGTGTTTCCAACAGTCAAACAGAGCAGCGCAAGAACTGCGTCCTAGGCGCGTGCTTTGTCCAAAATTACGCATTTTTCACAACCCGAAGTTGGCACACACCGGCAGATGGAAAAAGAAAACAACACAAAGGACGGAAGCGGCTTTGTAGGAGCGTGACTGATTGTACGCTACCAAAGAAAAGCAAGCGTAGCCCAGGTGAAACCAGAACCAAGAGCAGTACTCGCCCGGATCGGCTCGTAGCTTTTCGGCGTGCGGGGCTTACCCCCTGGGGCCGGACACAAAGCTTGGAATTATTAATTCCCGAGCAGATCCAGCGGCCACGCGGAGGGTCATTAAAGTCAATGGAACTCGCATATCGTCAGCTTCCATCTGTACAGGGGGCTCTGCCTTAACGAGGAGTTCGAGGGGGGAGACCAGCTGAATGCACAGGGACATGCTCCCTGCTCAGTACTTTTCTGTAAGTTGGTATTAAATGCTCGTTTGAGGAAAACAGTGCTTTGAATGGTTGCAAAAAATATATTATGCTTTGACAGGAATCGGTTAAACAAACAAAAAAAGAGTAAAGGGAAATATCCCCTTCCTTGAGTACTCCAAATGTCAATGCAAGTTATCCACGGAACAAAAATTAATATTCAGCCCATTGCAAACACCTGCTTCATTACAATTTCCCAGAAAAAAAAAAAATAATTATTTCTGTTGCATGCAGTAAAAGTAGGCAAGGTTAAATAAACCTTTTGAGCACAAAGACTTCCCCTCTATAGCAAGCAGCACTAGTTAAAAGAGTGGGGAATGGGTAAATTATTGTACCAAATGGCTGAGAATTAATCTCTGATGACTAGCTGCAATCTAACGAGGCATCTGTGTCCCAGGGAACCCGCAGTATGTCCCTGGCGGTATGTGCAGTGTGTAGAGTCTGCCTGGCATTCTTTGTCCTCTTTTGCAGGCAGCTTTTCGTCTCATTGTTCAGAATATCCTCATGCATCTGTGACGCGTGGAATGCATTCACACTAACAGACTTACTATTGTCTTCTCTCAGAAGCTTTGTCGAGCAAAGACTGCATCACGGTTCCTGATAATTATATTGCTTAATTAATCAAGACAAAAAAAATTTGCAAATCATTGCCCGGTTGCCAAGCAGGGAGATAAAAAATGAAAACAATACAAGCTGAAGCAATATAACAAAAGTAACAGCTATCTGATCAGAAATTCTTATATAATGAAGCTATTAATGCTAAATCGGTTAATGTTAACATTGCTCCAGGTGTCTCTACTTAGACGCAAACAAAAAGGCTAACATTATGTATATAAAAGGCCAAATGTTGCCATGGATTCTGTAACCTGATAGAGAGGACAGCCTTTTCATTTGATTAGGGAATGCAATTTAAATACCAGGGACCGAAGCCAAACAACAGACATTTCTCTCTGCAAGCCTCTTTCATTCACCCTGGGGTCAGTAGCTGGTGAACAAAAGGTCAGCCACACTTGCCCTGGAAATGTCTGGATTAATTTTATTACATTGTAATGGTTTGTACTTTAAATGTAGGGATAACACTAAATTTCCAGTTAGCTATTATTCTTTCTGCCCGCTGGGTATTTTTGACTCATATGTGAGATGACATAGCTTTTCTTGATTGCTTCATAGAATTTTGAAGCATGCTCACAACATCAAATTCTGATTTTCTCGATGGAACATTAAAAGCTAAAATTCCCGAGAAGTAAATTGCAGAGCTCAAAAATCAAGTGTAGGAAAAAACCCCACTATTTCAATTTATAAAAAATGTTCAAGTTTGAAACATCTACTGGCAAACCACTGGTTGTTGATACGCGATAGCTCCGTCGATCACAACCTAGAAAACATTGCACACAGCTAGTAAACGTGTCGTCCGAGGTACGCATTTCTTCCACAGGTAGTTATTCCTTTGGAAAAATACTGTCCCTCATATAAGGGAAATGGTATTTATTGCACTGATTACTTTCATAAAGTACATTTTATATACATTTTTGCATCCATAACGTACCCAACAAGCCTTTATTAAAGCAGCTTTTTTATAGGTACGCACTGATGTACACACACGCACGCCTGACATTTGGCAAAGAAAAAAACCCCTTATTTCCAAAAAATATCTAAAGTGTGGTTGCACACCAATGATTTAAACATAAAACACGAGACCTCAAGTACTCTGATGTAAGGATATCCAATGCCTGCATCATCCCACTGAGTCAGGTTACGACGACAGCCTCAGAAACCTGTGAGGTTATGCACGCTGCCATATGTACAGCAGTAACCAAGCCGTATGGGGTGAATTAATAGCAAACGAGGAACTTGCATCTTCATTTTTTTAATCTTTTAATTTTTAAAGTCTTTATTATTTTGCTTTTATTACCTCACATTGGAAATTCACAGTGATTTTAAACGTTGTTCTTTGCATAACAACTCCTATGGGTTGAGAATTCTGAACTATTTCTTTAAGCACTAAGCACGAATGTAATATTAATTAGTAGCCATTTTGATCGCTATTGATAATCCTAGTTTTAAAATAAGAGCTCATTATCCGCATACTTCTAAACTGAGATGGGCAGACTGTATTTTGTATTTGCTGGAAAATACCCCTCCGAGCTCTAAACCACTGAGCTTTATTTAAGGAACCAAACTGTTAAGGCATGTGATAGATCCGATAAATCAGTCAGGACGTACCTCTGGTTTCTTCATTATCTCTATGAAAAACATGTGATTCTTCATTGGGTAAATAACAATTAAAACATCTCCAAAATCTGTTGGTATAATGCCTCTGCGGTAGTTCCTGGTGTGTTCAGACCAGACGATGTGAACCTCATCATTTCCCAAGTGACGAAGCTGCAACAGCAAATTGGCTCTTTATTAATCAGAGTGATAACAACAGTTTATGAGGGGTCATGGCTTACAAATTGAATTACAATGCTTAATAGTAGAAATATTTCATTACAGAAAAAGTTAAAATATTGTTTTTCTCCAGTTGCTCATGAAAAGATCAGCTAAATAATCTGCTTCATTCAGAATGCATTGCTGTCTGATGGCTTAATTAAGTAATTATCAAACTAGCCATTAGCATGATATGGAAATGTACATTACCTACAATAATTTTAGATGGAAAGCTGAATTACTGGAACAGAACATTAACAGACAGAGCATCATAAGCTGTTAGGGAAACATGAAACGCCTTGACTCAGGATGTCAGGGAACTTTCCCTCACGAACCCCTGCTCCTGAATTTATTACATTACAAATATCGCCTTCCTGACTCTCTCTGGAGAGGACTTTGTTTGAAAATGCAAGCAAAATATCTGGGCAAGTGAATTGGAGGAGAATGGGCAATACTGTGGGAGTTACCTTTTCACTGGGAGTGGAGTTGCATAAAATACAGACAAAATTTAAATCTGACATATATGAAGTGCATCTGAAAGCCTGGGGGTTTGCTTTGTTATTGGAGGAACCGGAGGTGATCTAACAGATGGCAAAAAGTATTTGGCAATCACATACAAGCGATGCACAACAGTTTCAACTGTAAGCTTTAAAGTTAAAATTTAATCCACATGCAGAATGCCAGCCCAAAGCATAAAGAGAATTTAAGTCCCACTTAAAGCT